CGAGCCCCATATCAGGCTCTGTGCTAACAGTGCAGAGCCTGCTTGGGATTCTATGTCTTTCTCCCTCTCTTCCTCTCTCTCTTAAATAAATAAACAAACAAACAAAAAACATTTTTTAAATGATGTTTTCAAATATAGATAATGACAAAAATGGCACTTTTATAGAACTCTTTAATGTCTGCTTAAGAAAAGTCAGCATTGGATGCCTGTGTGGTTCCGTGGGTTAAGCATCCAACTTCTGCTCAGGTCATGATCTCACGGTTTATGGGTTAGAGACCCATGTCAGGCTTTCAGCTGACAGCTCAGAGCCTGGAGCCTGCTTGTAATTCTGTGTCTCCCTCTCCCTCTCTGCCCCTCACCCTCCTCATGCTCTTGTCTCTCTCTCTCTCTCTCTCTCTCAAAAATATATAACCATTAAAAATTTTTTTTAAAAAAGTCAGCTGGATTCTCTTAACAGCTTCTGTATTATATTTGCTGCAATGCATTGTTTTGACTGAAGTATATGAAGAAAATCCAGCCTCACAAAGATACATAGTAGAAGGGGAAGAGTATTTTAATAGCCTTCATAGATAATCGCAGATAATCCTATTTGATAGTACACCCAAACTGGCCAAGAGATGGTTCCTTAAAGGTACATCACAATGTACTCTTACAGTCCGTTACATGAAAATTAATCTATCATATACTTTGAGTGGAGACTTATCCATGCATGATTTTGAAATATGTGTTAGCTATTTGGAAAATATTGTTTCACTGAGTTACAAAGATGTTCCAAATGCTAATATATTGCATTCTGCAATTTTTTAAAAACTGCATTTGTTAATATTAAACTTTAAGAATTAGAAATATGCAAAATTTGTAGTTGATAGAAGTCAAAAATTCTAAATCTCCCATGAAAGCTTGAATTTTATCACTGGCAACAAATATTATCAATTGTTTCATACAAGTTACAGACTCGCTTCATTCACTTAAAAATCTGCCAGATACCCCAGAATGAATAGCCAGAATCTGTCTTTCGTTCTTCCAAGTTATTTTAGTCTAAAAATGGTGTTACATGAAAAAAAATAAGCTATTTGAGCTAAACTCAATCACAAAAGTGCTTTTCCTTGAGAAAAAATGATCATATGCCGTGGCCTGGCAGCATCTGACATTACATTACAAATTTATGTGTTTATCCTCTGCTATCCAAAGTAGAATAAAAGCTCTATAAGATCAGGTACCAGATCTTTATTACTCATTGTCTTTCTATTGCTTAGAATAGTTCCTGGCATGAACAATGTAAATATATTTTTGATTAATGTAGTTAATAAATAAGTGAATAGAATATAAACATCTCATCAGTCAAAAGTAGATTCTTCAAGGTACCTGGGTGGCTCAGTCAGTTGAGCGTGTGACTTTGTCTCAGATCATGATCTCATGGTTCCTGTGTTCAAGCCCCGCTCAGGGCTATGTGCTGACAGCTGAGAGCCTGGGGCCTGCTTTGGATTCTGTGTCTCCCTCTCTCTCTGCCCCTCCACTTCTTATGCTCATATGCGCTGTCGCTCTCTCTCTCTCCGTCTGTCTCTCTCTCTCCAAAAATAAATAAAACATTAAAAGAAATAGAAGTCTTCAGTCAAAAGCACACACAATTTCATGAGCTCTATGGATTGTACCCATGTCAATTTCCTGGTTTTGATACCATATTATAGTTATTTGGGTTGTTAACAGTGGAGAAGGCTGGTTTAGGATGCATGAACTGTCCCTTATATTTCCTGTGAATCTATCATTATTTCAAAATAAAAGGTAAAAAGAGTATTGTAACATTCCATACCAGCTCTGTCTAGTAAAAATAGAACATGAACCACAAATATGAGGCACATGATGTAATTTTCTAGTATCCTCTTAATCTATCAAAAGTTATTTCAACATGTAATAACTATAAGAATATTAGGTATTTTACAGTTTTTCAAAATCAGGTGTATATTTTGCACTTACAGCACATCTTAATTTAAGCTAGTCATATTTCAAATGTTCAGTAGTCCTATTTGGTGGCTAGTTTTACTGTATATGGCTACTGAACCAACCTTAAAGTTGCTGGTCAGTATATGGGATTGTATTTCATTATTCCTTAAGCTCTCAATATATCATGTGAATTCTATTGCATGTGTATATCACAATCATTTTGTGAGGGCATACAAGAGGAACACCTTAACCCTTAGGGCACGTTTGCAAATAAAAAATGTCATTTTATCTAAAAAACAAGAAACATTCACATTTTTTTTCATTATTCTAGAAATAAAAAGTGGAGATATTTCTGAATTCCAGACCAATGGTCAAAAGAATCACATCCACATCTCATCCAAACGTCAAGGATCGCATGTAGAGACTGAAAAGGAAGACGCCATGATGGGAGAAGGTAAGCTTGGACAATGGGGATGATTTCCACAACAGAGACCCATCGTGGATGAGCTGTGGCCTCCCTCTCCACATGGTTGTTAGTTTCTGGATCAATTTAGTTGTTAGGCCCTTCTTTATTCTTTGTTACTTCTTCTCAAGGAAATTACACCCCAATACAGGAATATACAAGTCCATCTGATTCACTCAGCTATTAACCAATTATTCAAGTTGACATTTATAATTTTTTCTTAGTAGATGATAATTGGTTTAACATTTGAATTTGTTACATAGAGAAAGGGAAAACTAAAGCATAGGCATATAATCTTTCCCTTAGCTATTGCAAAGCTGCCAGTCTGGCAACATTATTGAATTTGGGAAAAAAGACAGTGGTGTTGCCAAATACCAACTATGCAAATTAAGCTGAATATGGAACCCTTAAAAATGAGTCAGCTCTGTGAAGCTCTGCTTTGTTGTTTTGTTACTTTTAGCAAAATGCATTATTTGCTTACATTGCACATTATGCTAGATGATTTTGCTTGTTATATTTCTATATTACCATTGGAATTGGTGCCAAGCAAAGAAAAGGTAAGCATTTATTCAGACCAATGATTTTCCTTTGCCCTTCTAAGACACAGAAAACAGGAGGACAGTGGGTAGAGCACAAGAGGGATTTGCCAAATATGGATATGGTGGATGAAAAATATTCATATAATTTTTATGAATCTGAAACATTTTGAAGCATACACTCTAGAAAGAGTAATATTTGTATTTATTCTAAGGAATAGTCAATTATCATATTTTCTGCTTGAAAAAAGAATATGAATTTTAATGATTATGAGTACCATGTTTAACTAAAATGTAGCAGTTCAATGTTGTTCTACCTCTAGTTCAGTGAACTCTGGCAAGTGTATGTGTGTGTGTGTGTGTGTGTGTGTGTGTAGATATCAGTTTGTTTGCCTGTTTGTATTTTTTCTCATGGAGGAAATGAAGTTAGTTTTTTAGAAATGTCCCAACAAATTAGCCAGCCATACTTCAGCCTGGACCTATGCCAGAAGGCGGAAGTAGGCTTGGAGTGGGTAGGTGTGAGAAGAAAGAAGATAGAGAGAAAAGGATGGGAATTTTTTCCAGATTCCATCTAAGACCACTTTGTTTGGTGTCTAGAAACCTCTTGTCTATATTATTGCATGTAAATTCAGCATAAGTGTTTGAAAAGGCTCATGTGAATTCAGCACTGTGAAAAACAGCATATTTAGCTGCATTCTTAAGCAAACAGCAAGAGTGATGCTAATCTCCCCCTAATCTAATATGGCTATCTACATGAATCTCGGTTACCCTACTTAAATTAACTACATTAAGCAGTCCACAATGCCTGGGTGTTTTATTAAGGAACATTTTTTATCTGGTGGCTTATTAATAAATTATCAGGAATGAGATAAGGGACAGGGTTCCTGCGGAAAAGTTTAGATTGAAGAGACGGGAGTATTAGGGGCCATTTTATTAGGACATCCAGGTTAAAAATAGAAAGATGTGTTCTCCAAATCCTCCCTTAGGGACCATAGCAGATTTGTTTCCTTATTTCCTAAGCTATGTCCAAATCTGAAGAGCATCAATTCCAAGGCAAGTAATGAGGCATCTCCTATTTTCTTCAGAAATTATTGCCAGCTACAAAACAACTAATTGTTGCAAGCTTTAAATAAATTTGGTTTATTTCAGTATTTCCGTGGCACTTTAGTTTCCCTTTTCTCTCTTTTTCTAAACTTTTGGCCTTTGCAAATAAAGGAATTGGCTCTGTCTCTCATAAGCACACTGCATTTACTAAGCAATACCATAGCACTAAAATTATTCAGCTGGTGGAACTGTTTCCACCATCCAGTATATTGAGACTGTAAACTCATCATGTTATGGCTTTTGCCAAAAATTGTGTGGATATAACAGGGGTGGTGGAGAGTTACACTGGGGGAGGAAGGGAGTGGTGCATATATCCCTCATATTTTACCATTACCAGCCAGACATATAGAGCCATCTGAGTCAGCTTATAAAATTCATATTTGTGCTAGTCACTCTGCTAGTTAGATCTAATGAATTCTCAAGTTAGTTGGAGAGGCAGAAGAATGGGACAGTTCAGAGCATGAAAGCCAGGAGTCAGGCAGACTGAATTTAATCCTGACTCTCCTGTTGACTTGCTTTGTGGCCTCAAGGAAGTCAACTATCCTCTCTATGTCCATCAGCTCCCTCATTGGGAAAGTTGCTATAATAACACTGCTCACACTTATGGTTGTTGTGCTGATTAAGTGAGTTAATATTACTAACGTGTGCAGAGCAATTCCTGGCATATTGTATGTAAGATATATATGTGTTATTTATTGTTGGTTCTTGTTATTTAAGACTCAAAGCCTTCAAAGGCATGACTCCTTCCTATCTTTGTAACCTTACTTTGCAATTCACCTTTATGCCCACTGCCCACACTCACTACACTAGCTCACTCCTCCTCAGGTGTGTCTAATAACTTCCCACCCATTTCCCTGCACACTTTCTCCCAGTTGGATTCCTTATCTTCACCTGTTAAAACCTCCTGAAGCTTTTAAGCACCAGCTGAAAAATGTTTTTGTTTTGTTTTTTTCTCATAAAGTCTTTCCCAGTCCCTCCTACTTCAATGAAAATGAGTACTTCCTCTTTGGGTTCCAAAATATTAAATGTGTGCCTCGATGGCAGTATTTTTTCATTTTTTTTTGTTTGTTTGTTTTTAAGAATTCATTATACATAGATGGCTCTCTGTTCCCATAGGCCAGTGTTTTTTTTTTTTTTTAATTTTTTTTTTCCAACGTTTATTTATTTTTGGGACAGAGAGAGACAGAGCATGAACGGGGGAGGGGCAGAGAGAGAGGGAGACACAGAATCGGAAACAGGCTCCAGGCTCTGAGCCATCAGCCCAGAGCCCGACGCGGGGCTCAAACCCATGGACTGAGAGATCGTGACCTGGCTGAAGTCGGACGCTTAACCGAATGCGCCACCCAGGCGCCCCTAGGCCAGTGGTTCTTGAGAGGCTAGTTTTGGCCCCCCAAATAGAGTGGCCACCTTATCCTGGTTTTCCCAGAACTTTGCCAGTTTTAAAAATCAAAGCCTTGTGTCTCAACAACTCCCTGTATCCCAGACAAATGGGGACAGTTAGTCATCCAACCTCCAGAGGACATTTGCATTGTTGTCAGAGTTGTCACAGGGAGGGGGGACACTACTGGCATCTAGTGAGAAGAAATTAGGGATACCGTAAACATCTTACAATGCACAGGACCACCCCACAGTAAAGATTATTTGGCTCAAGATGTCAATAATGCCAAGGCTGAGAAACCCTGGAAGAAGCTATTGTCTTTGTAATATGTAGATGAGATGCTGGAATGGCTTACTTAATGTAGTTAGATTATGTCTCCCAATAAATATTGGATAAGTATTTATTTGCCTCCTGATATTTGTTTAATACTTTATTAGATCTTCTCTGTATAGTTAGTTGCAGAGAGGTGATATCTGGTCCCCTGTCTTTTATGAGTGTGCAATTTGGTTGGGACACAAGAATAATATTTTGGGTAAAATGAAAGAACAATTCTAGGCAACAATTAAGTGTAAAGCAATCACAACAAACAATATGTATTTGATGAACGTAAGGATTGGAGATAATTCCCCAAGAGTGAAAAGAATATCACTATCTTAAGTTACATGTTTAGTCCTTCAAGCTCCTAAATCATATCACACTGTTTCAAATCCCATTTGCTAAGGGCCTGGTTGTCCAGTTTGCACACACTCAGGTTTACAGAAATGCCAGGGAGGGAGTCTAGTTTTGCTCTGTCGAAGCTCCATTTTGTATTATTCCTTCTCAACTGTTCCCTTGCTCCCCTAATTTGGTTAACAGGGAGCAGATCTCCCAGGTGAGACACCTCAGAGTTCTCTTTACCTCCTGGTGCTCCCCATACCACCCTGTGCCCTTGCTCACCAAGTTTGAATAACAACACCACTGCAACCTCTTTGGTTTCCACCTTCCCCTATATTGTTTCACAGATATATCTTCACTTCAGTCTTAGTTAATACACCCATTATAGATGTCCACTCCTCCTGTCCTTCTTTTCTCTCCAGGACAACACTCCCCATACACAACTTCTCCCAGCTTCAAAATGACGTTTTCCAATGTATCTACACACCTAAAGTCTCTACTCCTTCCAATCCCAGATCAAATTCAGTTTCTGCTTTTTTTTTAAGCTAGAATAAATAATCCCCTTGTTTGAACTTTTATAACACTTCCCTCTTGTTCACTTAACACCTTTTATATATAATATAGTTATGGGTGTTCATGTAGTTCTGATCTTTTTGAATAAATTCTGTATATTTTCTAATTCCAGCAGCACTGTTACCATAGGGTGTTAGGATATTAGACTGCTTATAATTATTGTTATTGAGTGAATGGTGAAAGCAAAGATGAAATGAGACCTGTTCCTGCCCTTCTCCCTTTCTAGAGAAACCTGGATTCCAGCAGTTTTTTCAACTGCTGTAAAAAAGCCCCCTTATTTTTCTAAAAGAGACGCAGAAAGTTTATTCAGGTTCACAAAATAAACAACAGGATCATGACTGTACGTCTTTGGGGTCCTACCAATTGGCAAAATGTGACTGACTTGCAGGCAGAATGCTATCTAGTGCCACCTTAGTTTCCTTGCTATTGCCTTTGTCTTTGTGTGACTGCTACTGCTGCAGACCCCAGTGCTCCCTTCTCTAGACATCGAAGGTCTTTGGCCACTTTTTTTTTTTTTTTTTTTTTTTTTTTTTTTTTTTTTTGGTGAAACCTCTGTTCCCAGTGCTGGGAACTGAAAATTCATGAAAAAATGGCAAGATATTATGGATTTGTGACTAAATCATTAACTTCAGCGTTTTATGTCTACCACTTTAGGGTCCTATTGACTGTATACGGTGTATTTTATGAATATTAAATAAAAAGGACTGTGAATTTACCTTTGTAAGTACAGACCTATAAGAATGACA